CCAAAGTTCTCTTCTCTTCCTTACAAATCACCTCATACTTATTAAAATCGCTACACGATATTCAGAATCTACCCTGCCATTTACCTCATTATACCTGTCTTATCCCCACTTCAAACACTTTCTTTGCACGTTGCCATAGAGATTATTCGCTACTACCTTGGACTCCGTCGCCACAGATACAAGTACGGCCAAAAACGTGCAATATTGAATACACATGGCGTATGTCTCATTCTGCACGACGTCAGCCACTACTGGAGAATATTCGCACTGGAGCACTCCTACAGAGTCGTGGAACTAAAAATGGGCTACGGCCCGATTCATTGTCGGTGGTTCACTAAATTTGGGAACTACGATGTCTTGGAAAAGCGCGCTGTGCGTGAGTGTATCCTGTGTGCGAGAAGCGCTTATTCATTTTTCTAGCACGATCGCGGAGCAGTCTGAAGATCAGCTAGAGCCCCTTGAGCGTACTTGGCCGAAAGATCTCGTATTTCCGGGTGTACGGCTGCTGGTCTTTGGATTTGATACTAATGAAGCGAACAGCGATGGAATCATATCGGATACAGGTCCTATCGATTGTGCCAAAAACGGGGTGCACTTCCAATGGATTATAGAGCGCATACGTTTAGCATTTCCAAACTTGGGTGAGGCGGTATTCACTTTTGAAAGTGGTAGAGTAATTACCATTAGCTCGAGATCGCTTTTCTCTCGAGAATGGAATGTTAGCTTGCTTATTTCGGCATTCTCTTGGAATCTGAGATTGGTGGGATATATCAGCACATGGTGTCGCCATTCGAGCTTCTTAGCTATTTTGCTGGAAAACATGCCCGAACTTACAGAGTTTCTCTACAGCCGATCTAGAAATGATGCCAATATCTTTTTGGTTATCAAAAAGTCCACCACTTCTCTAGAAAAGCTAATCATTTGTGGCTATTTTTCTGAACGCCCCAAAGTGTTTTTGTTTGGCGACAATGGCAAAGTAGTTATTTACCCACGGCTGAGAATCTTGGAGATTTGTGCGGACATGTGGTATGACGACCCACTCCAGACGGACCCATTGGTGGTGCCATTTCCAGTACTACAGCGCATTTGTCTCGGACCATTCTGTGGATTCAATGATGACACGTTTTTCCGAGGAAATGAGAATACCCTAACATCTCTGGACATATCCTTTGATAACAGGTGTATAAGCGTATTTGAGAGCTACGGCATATTCCTGAACGGAACATACCCGCACCTTTGCTATATCTCTACGTGCGACTCATTCTATTCATCATTTGCCCAATCTGGTCGATTTTGGATGCAAGCTAAGTGCATACAAGCAACCGAGGACAAATGAAGGCATCATGTCTTTGTATGAGAACCTTTGCAAGCAACACTATCTACTCAGCCGTCATCTCAAATGTTGGCATGCATACAATCAGAAATATACCGATGCTCCCGCTATTGCGGTGGCCGCACTCACGCTTTCTGTTCTTTGCCCTGCTTTCACGTATGTTGCAATGCTGCACGAGTAGATTTCAAGAGAATACGATATCGAGCTACAAAAATTATTGGATTGCGGGTTCCACTTCAAGTACCTGGATAAAATTAGGCGTCTGTTTGTTCGCTAGTACCTTTTTCTCGATTTTAATTGAGGTTGGCTGAAAACATATTCTATCTTTTGCAGCGTGCATATCCTTCAGGAATTTAGAAATGTAAATATAAAGGAGAGCGCCGCTCATCAACTGCCCATCTTATATCCAAATATATGTCGCTATTTCTATATGTCACAACTGGGGACTGCTACACAGAAATTCTATCATAAAGATCAATGGGGGATCCACTCACAATGAGCTGGAGCACTATACCCAAAGGATCCATTGTACGAAGCATTGAAAGAGGCTTAGCCTTATACCACATGCGAAGGATGCGGTGTTTGGTGTTCACCTTTTCGCAGTCATGTTTAAAGGAGAGAGCACGGAGCCAAATGTTGCTAGGAAAGAAACTTTAAGTAGAAATTTTACCCCTTATCTTCTCTAGTAAAGCACTTCTTTCCTCAGACACTATAAGCTGGTTTTGGCATACATTGCCTAAGAATTATAACATATATACACTCTTTATAAAACGGCTCTTACATTTATTTTAATCGTTTACACACATTTTTACTTTGACTGTATACGGAAATAGACATCTACGAGAAAAATGAACCCTACATATACATGCTTCACTCCTCTAGAGTTCTTACTCTTTTGTTCTTCTCTTTAATATGGTTTATATAACATAACGCAAAGAAAAATTGCTAACCATTGTTAACTTCACTAGCAACCAGGTATGTTGGAGATTTGGAAACAAACAGTTCCTATTTGAGCTCTGTTTGTAGAGTAGAGTATGTCCGTGCGTGGTAACTCTTCTGCTCCTAACCAAACATTCGTCAATGGATTACACACCGCTACTGTTGCTTTTCTCATGAAATAGATCCGTGGCCTCATGGACAAGGTCCACAACATCCGTAACATGTCGGTCATTGCTCACGTCGACCACAGCAAGTCCGCCCTGTCGGATTCCCTTGTATCTTGAGCAGGTATTATCTCAGGCGCAAGGGCTGGAGAAGCCCGCTTCCTTGACACTCGCGAAAACGAGCAGGAGCTTATCTTTATAAGGGTAGCGCTGATCGGCGACAAGCTAACCAAGGCTGTCGAGGATGAGAAGATTGCACCTCGCGATGACCCCAGGGAGCGTGCACGCAAGATGGCTGAGATAGAAAAATGGAAAGCAAGAGAACAACCATGCATCAATGTGCATGATCGGACTGTACTTTTCAGCACTGACTTGGTCTGAGTCACACTTGGTGTAAGCTTTTCTCAGAACAAAATTTAGATGGAAACTGGACAGATGGCCAAGTTAGACGAAAGGGAAAGCAAAAGAACGGTCATTCATTAATGAGCAGGGTTGGCAAAGCGGATAATGGTTGGCAGAAGGAAAAATGGATTATACAAAAAAGAAGATATGTTTTAACATTTTGTCACACAAAACACTACATAGAGCCACCTCCATGGAAGGAAAATTTTCAATCAATTTACTTTCTCTTATCTGTACAGTGACACCGATATAATCTAATAATAGCATGCTGACAGATATCCAAGCTCAACATCATCCGATTGGACATATCTTTTCTGCCAGACATTTACTTGTGTGCCACCACTGGCACCATGTAATCGGTTGGGGACCAGAGTAGAGACATTCCACTCTGTATCACAGGATTATAAATATCCTTGCATTCCCTGTTTTCCTTGTTTAATAAAATTTTATAAAAGTTCAAAAATTCTCCTTTATGTAGACAAATATCCAATATCTTATATACTCTTATTCTCTAAATCTTGGTCTAGAAACTCGATTTTCAGAAAATGTCTCAGCCAGATAAAGGTAATTGCATTAACAATAATATTGTGTAAATAAATAGCTGAATAATTTTATTAATGAAATAACGCCTGTATTTTACTATTAATTATAGACAATTGTACCACCATGACACCTTTGGCAATTCCAAAATATTAGCTTTATGAATCACCTTGGACAGATCCCCAGCGAACTGAGCCTGTAAATAATGACAAAGGCTGTACAGAGGATCCTACACTTCCTAGTGTGAATATTATTCCACCCCCACCAGTGGCCCCATTTTGCATCAATCTAAATATTGCTACATTTAACATATGTGGCTTTGGAAAAGAAGGCCATGGAAAAAGGAATGACTTCCTGGATATGTTCTTCACATGCCTGGATGTCCATCATATAGATACTCATTTTATCCAGGAGGCACAATCTAAAGAACCATTAGAAGTCTTATTATCACATATTTGCCATCCATATGGCTATAAATGCTGCTATAATCCTAGCTTGATTGGCATAAAAGATTCATATGACACATTTATTCTTGTATGCAACAACCTTGGAGCGCACCCACAGCTTTTTGAGCGACGCTCAAATGTGTGGAAAACAGTCATATGTCTTGAGCCATATGGGGTGCTCTTGGCAAACATCTATGGGCCATTTGATGATATTGTGTCATGCTAGTGGCATCTGATTCCCCACTGATTGATATATGCTATGGTTGGGGGACGCATAACAGCTATAAAAGGGGAGAAGGAATGTTCCCCCTTTTAATAGCGAGGAGAAAAGTTTAGCTTAGTTTTAGAGTTTTGGAATTCATAGAATAGAAAATAGATATTCCAGGTCCAGTTACCCTCGTCTTATAGTTCGTGTCACAGTACATAATCAAAGATTAAAGTCCTCCTGTTTTTCCACTGGCATATGAAGGAAGGTCAGCAGATATTTTCCACAGAAAGAGCCACATGTACCATTTCTAATGGTTACAGATACGAGCATACGTCCACTATGGCTATATGTCTAGATTTTCCAGTGTTCGTAATATGTGTAAAAGTAAGAATATATTATCTTTAGCAAAACAGATAAAGAAGGGGGAATGGGAACTTTCGTGCAAGCAACGTCTTCTTTAAGCATCGGGAGCACTGTCAGATCATATATATATGGTCTGCCCGTTTACCTGATGCTGTAACACATGTTTAGCACATTCATTGGAATTCAGACAAAAAGTGATTGTAGAGGAGAAAAGAAGAAAGTAGCATATAAAAGCATCGGATACTGCTTAAACATAGGATTTTGCCATTTTGATTATATGCACGGCTGCGGTGTAAAATGAAGGCCAATGAAACATCATCATCCTTGCTTTCACCTCAACATTGGCTACTTTAATAATGATTTCATGTTTATATAAAATATATTGTTTTATGATTCTAAACGATGGATCATCCCTTTTGCGAGACTGGCCTTCAGATACCATCCTATGATAAAAGTCCTACTCGGTCTCCGCCATGATTGGGTTTCACTGCTTTTTCCTCCCTGAGCATGAATACCAAAAAATTTCGGCTCGATTCGAATTTTTCACTTCCATAACCCGTTCTGAACCAAAAAGGATCCACCGCTCCCACCAGCGCCAAAAATGATGAACAGAGTGGGATTCGAACCCACGCCTCCGAAGAGAATAGGGCCTAAACCTATCGCCTTAACCACTCGGCCATCTGTCCGCCGTTTTGATCTAAAATTCTTTTGCGGAGAGAAGAATACAACAAATATGACTCTGGGGATTAAAGATTTAGACCAAATTCGGCCTGGTCCCCAATTCTTGAGTAGGTCCCGGGTGGTATCCTATTCAAGAGGCTACGGGTTCGCTTCCCAGAAGCTTTCCGCATGAAATACCACTCCCAGGGATTGAGCAGTCGGCCAAGCACTCCCGCGTACTTCCCACATGCGTAAAGACCGGTGGGTCTTTTGGAGCCATCCCCCGCAAGCGCATCGTCATCTGGGCCCCTGCGTGAGGACCAGGGGTTTTTTCCCAGGGTCTTTTCCCCTGCGAGCGCATCCATTCCAAGACCTGTGCTCAAGGCTTACCTACACGAGAGCGACTCCAGTCCATAGTTGATTTTCATTAGTTACCTTGAGTAGAATAGAATACTGTCCTCGTGAAGGGTTGGCTTCCAACAATCTTATGCGAGCCTGAGGACTAGTATTATAATCGCGCTAAGTTGCTGTGCTAAAAAAAAGAACGACGAATGTAGCGCTGCTAGCGCACCTCCAATTAGCCACTCAGCGTGTGTCTATTCTTTGACATTTCTTATTAGACGAGATATGCAATGCACCGAGAAGGCATCAAAACACTCGTAGACTTCGTTATCCCCACTGACGACGGGGAAAGCTTCGAGTTCCAGTACTCAACGCTCCATTGCAAGATCCACACAGTGTTTGGGCATGGACACATTGTTTTCACTCCAGCTGCCAAAGCATGCCTTGCTAACACGAGTGGAATTGATCCTACAGACGACATTCCCGTCAGACGAACGCTCCGTCTAGCGGGGTCTCCGCTACATCAATACAAACCTAGTATCAGACATCTTTATCGCCAGAGTGACAGACCCCTCAATGTCGCAACAGAACGATGGAAACGCACACCTATCACAGGACGGGATATCCCAGCGCCCTAATGCAAAGTACTATATAAAAGTAAATTGGAGCCGAAGCACATCTCACGTTTTTGGCAATTAGTCGAGGCTTTCCTCCAAACTTTAGCAACTTTCAGATCCAGCGCCGGCCTACAGTATACAGTCAATATCGACAAAATCGTATTCGGATTCCATGACTGGTCCTCGTCGTTACCGAACGCAGACGCACTACACAGTCTAGCTGTGTGAGAGATATTACGTGCTCACGCTGAAGCTTCCATGGATAACAAGATCCTGACACTGCAAGCAATACTTGCACATTGGTTCAACACCGCCACAACCTGGTTTGCTTTTTAGCCAGGCGGACTATAACATCTAGATAAATTGTCCATTATTCAACACACCGCTGCTCCTTCTTCTCAACAAGAACAAACTGCCATCATTGCGTCTCTTCTTAGAACATTTTAATTTTAATTTCTGACTCCGTGTACTTTGATAGTTGTAGCTCACGATGTAGCTCTGGTGATTCTATATGGTAATATACTTTATTCACATCAAACAAATATATTTTGCGCTGGAGACTGGCGCGTACGGCCCGATATCGTTGTTGTCCAGATGAGTTGCTCAATGTCGACGGATTTAGGCACAGTGGAAGCGATGATACAACCAGAAGACAAGGGTTGATATCATCGAGAACGAAAGATATAAAAAAGCAGGAAATGCCATCTTGATTGTATGAGATAATCTCTCTTCAAGTTTAACAAGACCTGACATTTTCCTATTGAAATATTCTCTTTGAAACATATATAATACCATACAATGCCCTTGAGTCTCGCTTATGCTTACACAAATGATAACGCCCGCTCTCCTCCTTCACTTTCACCATGGACTGCACCTACTTTCTTTTCGCCTTGCTCCTCTAGTTGTATTGTTAACAGAAACATCGTCCTTCAGGGTAACAAACAAACTTTCCTCACTAGTTAAGCTCATCAATTGGTTCTTGTCAGCACTGTTAATATATTTCATATTTATCAGGAAGGTCCTTTAGCGTCTTGAATAAGCGACTTTATAGCGTCGATGCTTCCCCAGACGCATGCAACAGCGCTGATGGCCAGGACAACAAGCATCCAGATCTTTTCGTACCATGGCGCGACGCGATGGCCGTAGAGTTTCAGATAGCAGGAGACAGGGACGATTGCGTAGAGCGCAACGCAAGCGAGTGAGCTGATGAGGCTCAAAAAGTCTGAAAAGTAGGGGATGGCAACTGAAATGCCGCAAACAGCAGCAACGACGACTGAGCGGTAGGTCAAGCGAATGATGAATTCGCGCTTCTTGCCAAGACGCTCTGCGGTTATATTCCATTGTTTTTCGACTTCGAGATAGAAGCTGAGCAGCAGAATGGGCGCAGCGATGATTACATGTAGAGTGATCATGATTTTGGCAACGGTTGCTGGTGCGCCGGTCGGGATAGAGTCCAAAACAGGCGAGACAACCTGGTTACCGTATGCCCAATAGCCGGTGATACCAATGAGCAAATAGGCGGCGGCGGAGAAGACCATCGATGCGATAACAACCATTGGCCATTGGCGCGGCTTTTTCATCGCGGCTTCGACGTGTGGGTAGACGACTGTTCCGGAAAAGCTAAAGACGATGGACGACAGTGCAACAGGGATTCCAACGCCAATTGCTGCGCTATGGCTGGGTGCGGGTTCGGAAGGGTGCATTTTTGTGTACGGGTCCTTTACTGACATGACGGTGGAGATGATAATGACGACGACAGAGGCGACCAGGCCAAAGATGGCCATGAATGCAGCTTCGGACATCTGCTTGAGTATGGCTACAGGGATCCACATGACGACAGCGACGATGACCATCCATACCTTCTGGCTGAGGTGGACGCCTAGTGTCGATACCAGGTCGTGGATGAACTGGCCCGCCAGGATAATGTACAGACAAGTGGTGCCCAGCGAGTACAGCGAGACAAAGAACTGCGATGCAAACTGGCCCCATACACCGAATGCAGCACGGCCGATTTGTGGGAACGAGTGAAGGCGCTTGCCGGGCTGGTAGTACAGGCAGCGGATGGTTAGGTTGCCAGTGTATGAGCCAATTATAGCCGACAGGACAATGATGATGATGCCGATCCATCCGGTCTTTGCAAAGGCGTAGGGAATTTGGAGGCAGCCGGTGCCGATGATGATGCAGACGATGCTGGAGAAGGAGCGCAGGAAGCCTGCCGTGCGAGGTATCTCCACCTCGTCGTGTTCTTGAGCCTCAAAGTCGGTGGCGTAGTTATCAGATGTGGTTTCCTTGATCGGGATCCCGCCCTTGATTGACGAGGTTTCATAAAAGTCGTTTGAAATGTTGACTTGGGCGATTGAGTCACTGCATGGGCGGGCATTGCGGTTAAAGGCTTTGCGCACAAATTTAGCAGCAGCAGAGTTCATTTTCAAAGAGGTAAACTACATAAAAACTACAGGAATACAGGTTTCTCAATGGAAGGTTGGGGGCGCGCTTTGCCAGTCGCTTTATATACTGAATGGTATAAAACCTCTCCTCTCTCGGCTCCTAGTTCCGTTTAGAAGAAAATAAGCCAAAGGCATTGGGCGGTTTATAGTGTTTGTTTGCGATACGCCAGCACAGACTGATGCTCATATGATTTAGTTTTCTGCCTTTTATGGAAACTTGTGGAACGCATATGGAATAAGAAGGCGGATCATTGCCTAAAAGAGGCAAGAAACTACTCTCTAGTGCATATAATTTTGGCAGAAATGAAATAACACGTGCTTGTAATCGAAAACTGTTAATACAAAACGGAATGTAAATGTAAATCTAGCCGCCTCTGGTGTCCTTTATCAGCGACTTTATCGCATCGATGCTTCCCCAGATGCAGGCGACAGCGCCGATGGCCAGGACAACAAACATCCACATCTTCTCGTACCATGGCGCGACGCGATGGCCGTAGAGCTTCAAGTAGCAGACGACGGGGATGATTGCAAACATGGCAACGCAGGCCAGCGAGCTGATCAGACTGAGAAAGTCCGAAAAGTAGGGGATGGCCAGCGAGATTCCGCACACTATGGCAACCACAACGGAGCGATAGATCAGGCGGATGGTGAACTCGCGCTTTTTTCCGAGACGCTCTGCAGTGATATCCCATTGCTTTTCGATCTCGAGATAGAAGCTGAGCAGCATGATCGGCGCAGCAATAATTACGTGCAGGGTGATCATGATTTTGGCAACAGTCGCAGGCGCACCGGTTGGAATCGAATCAAGAACCGGCGAGACAACAAGGTCGCCGTATGCCCAGTAGCCGGTTATACCGATGAGCAGATAGGCGGCGGCGCAAAAGGTCATGGATGAAAACACGACGGATGGCCACTGGCGCGGCTTCTTCATCGATGCCTCGACGTGCGGGTAGACAACAGAGCCGGCAAAGCTAAACACAATCGACGACAGCGCAACGGGGATTCCAACGCCAATGGCGATATCGTGGCCAGGCGCAGGATCTGTGGGATACATTTTTGTATAGGGAGCAACGAGCGACATTGTGGTGGAGATGATAATGACAACGATTGACGCCAGCAGACCAAAGATGGCCAGAATCGCAGCCTCGGACATTTCCTTCAGAATGGCAACGGGGATCCACATGACGATGGCAACAATGATCATCCACACCTTTTGGCTTATCTGGACGCCGAGCGTTATTAGCAACCCGTGGATGAACTGGCCCGACAGAATGATATACAGGCACGTGGTGCCCAGCGAGTAGAGGTAGTTGAAGAACTGGGTGACGTACTGGCCCCATGGGCCAAAGGCAGCACGGCCGATTTGCGGGAACGAGTGGAGGCGGCAGCCAGGCTGGTAGTACAGGCATCGGATGGTGAGGATTCCGGTGTAGGAGCCAATAAAGGCGGAGAGGATGATGACAATGACGCCGATCCAGCCAGTCTTTGCAAAGGCGTAGGGGATCTGGAGGCATCCTGTGCCGATAATGATACAGACGACGTTGGAGAAGGAGCGCAGGAAACCGGCGTTGCGCGGCAGATGCGACTCGGATTGTTGGAGCTGCTGTTCGTCGCTGAGAG